CGCACTACCCCTTACCACCGTCACGGCGTGGCGCGGTTATTTCGAAAGGCCTCTCCAAAGCACTTGGCTTATGTGGAGTGGTTCTCCCCGTTCGCTTTGGCTCCGGACAGAACGAGTGGTATGTACAAGATAACTAGGTCTATCCGTGATGGCGAGAGACTTGCAAGTATCATACCGGTCTCGCAGATTTACCGGAGCATACACCTGCTCCCGAAGTTTGGGTCCTCAGTTCCTCGGACTTGGTCAAGTCACACAGTCCTTGATGATGCATCTGCATTTTATGTTAATCCATTCCTAGATCGCCACACTTTTACCATGTTCCTGTAAGCTGTATAATAGAGATAATATGAAATGACGCTATTTGACAATGGTACCTAGACATAATTACAGAAAATCGACGAAAATACTAGCAGATTGTCGCTCGCTTTCTGTGTTATATGGATTATTTATAAACCCTCAAAATTTACATAAAATTATGACGGGAGGGTTTTCCTGATGGTCCCTTGACTTCTATCATAGGCATCTTGTCCGGCTAATCCTCGACAACGTGCCCAGTGGTAATGTTGTAAACCCCTTTGATAGTTAGCCTGGCGGGGAAGCTGCTCTAGTAATCACATCAATCTTGTATACGTTTCATTTTACTACTTAACAATGTTTTGTGCTCGGTTCACGTCAGTTGGTCATAGATGCTCAGCTGCGCGTCGCCATCTGGCTCAGCTACATTTCATCTCCTGCTACCACAGCGTTACAACATGGTTTCGCTTGATTCGTCGACGACGGCAGGCTGAATGCTAGATGATGCTGGGCCCATAGTCAATAGAACCCTAACCTGAGTGGCCCATTGCTTCACGGCCGTGGCTCCGGCCTGGGCGATGGCTCGCGAAAGCCCGGTACGCCCAAAATACAATGACCCGACTCGCTGTTCTATCGTTGTTCTCCTATGTACTCAAAGTGAAAGTCTGATCACTCTGAGCATCCGCTAAGTATTCGGTGTCGCCTGCTCCTCTGGCCGAGCATTCACAATCTCTTACCAAGCACCGCGATGGGTAAGCCGCATAATCGACAGTATAAATTGACCGTACACTTCCATCAATATCAATATCCGAGTCAGTTGCAAGGAGCTCACTCCTGCCATAATGTCTCACAAAGCTATCGTCTTCCCCTCTCTTGGCGCTGACCTCGAGGTGATCTCTGTCCCAACAGCGACTCTGCTCAGTGACTACGTCCACGTTGCAGTCGAGTATGTTGGACTTACACCTCTCGACGTCTGGCAGGGATACCACGGCCTTGTAAGCACACCTTCACCCATTTTCACTACACTCTTCTCATACTGAACTGCCGCATAATGCAGTTTGCCACATTCCCAAATATCCCGGGTGACACCCTAGTAGGGACAATCGTCGCCGTTGGAGATGCGGTGACGCACGTCGCAAAAGGCGACCGCGTCCTCGCAATGGTCTTCGGAACCCAGGAGCAGAAAGCAGCGCAAGCGATCGCGCATGTCCCTGCCAACCGCGTAGGCAAAGTCAGTTGTGCATTCCCTTAAGAGCACACACATCCATTTCACTTGCCCTCAATATCCAGGTACCAGCCAACGTAGATTCTGTATCGGCGGCCACCGTTTCGAGCGGGCTGGTCATGACCTACCATACTCTGATATCCCGAGTGAATGGCTTAGGCCTTTGGCTGTGCACCGGTCTCCCGAACGAGGACTTCGAGCCGCTCTCTACTGAGGAGCGGGACAGGCGCATCCTCGTGTGGGGCGCCTCGAGCTCCGTGGGCCTTTACACCGTCCCGGTGTTGGCTTTCTCTGGACTTGGGGGGAGTGGGCCAATGCTGTGCATGGCTGGTTACGAGTCCTGAGCTGGGCATAAGATACTCCCTATTTTACACTGTATATCATAGAGCTGACACAAATATTCCTATCTTTCTTGAAGTATTATTTGAATTTCACTAGACCTCTCAAGATCATCTTGTATATTCCTTGATTTGCTATAGAGCTCTGGTTATATTATGGATTTCCCGCATTTTTCACAATTTTTCTGGCCCTTCTACAGCCTGCAATCAATTCCAGATACCAATGATGTAATGGCTCTGCAGATCGGGTGAACCTGCAGAGAGCCTATGTCATAGAAGGTGGGAGCCAATCAGAGTCCAGGAATCCAAACCGACGCGGCCCGCACCTCAGCCACTGACTACAAGCCACTACAATAGTCAATTCCCACGATAAGCAATAAAAGTAAAACCGCCATGCGGACTAGGACAAGACACACAATCGATAAATTCACGAAAATATTGTTTTAGACCCATATAGCATACGCCCCAGACTAGAGAAAATAAAAGAGCGATAAGACGAAGAATTGAGCCCGCAAATGAGCAAACAATGGTCACAGAGACTACAAAAACGCGCCAAAAGTGGTTTTGTAGTCTCACATACAAACGGACTTTCAAATGGAGTTTCAAAAGTGTAGTCCACAATACAAACTATAACTCCCACGACTTCTCGGCACAAAAGGTTCTCACGGGGTACAACGTTCGGCACGCAGGCATATTTTGCGCGTAAGAACTCGTCCTTCGTATCTCAGGACTCATAACAACAGGTATCCGAGGTGTACCCGCGAGTCGGACGGATCCCTTGGAGTCGACTGGTCACAAGCAAAGCTACAATTATGCCAGAAGAAGGAAGCACAGCTGATACTAAATACGGAGAATTTGCCTCACGTAGCCAGCAGTGCACAAGCAGATGGACATGCCAGCAACGTACCAGTCAAAGCGGATAGCATGATCATTGATCACCACCGGCGCTGAACGTTGAACGTTATTTTCTACCTGTTATATAGAGGAACATATGTAAAAACATGACAATATTGTTGATTTCCACTGGGGTTGAACGGCCGCGACTTGTGAGAATTAGGGTGTGGTGTAAAAGTTGCTCATTATTTACGCTGTTATAAACTGCTGTTAAAAACAGGTTAGTAACACTGGGAAGTTGTGACGGTTAAGGCCGTCACAGCCACTTCCTATGTTTCAATGGACTATTTCCTATTTTGTCTTATGTTTATCTTAACAGTCACTCTTAGATAGACAACGGAATCTGGCTCTAGAACACAGTGCAAGCATGTATTCGGAGGACCCCTGAAAATACTGATAAATGCTGGTGCGAGACTCAAAACTTCCATGTCTGGATTGTCTGAGGCTCCCCCCTGCATTTTTGTCCGGATAAAATACCGGCCTCCCGAAGGGGCCGATTTCTGTCCGGACTAATGCACCGGCGTTTGGAAAAACAGAAAAGAAATTTTTTGTCGTCTATCAACTCATTAGAACACTGTACAATGTATCAGTAATAGTACTAGGACTTGAATGCAGTCAATGAAGCGACAGAATTCACAAAGGCCGCCCACTCCCATCAACCCCATCTGAGTCCAGACCCTGGAGTGCGTCATTCGTTTTGCCTTTGTCCCAATCCAGTCCTTGGGATTGAATGAGACGTCCACCTCTTCCGTGAGGTCATTGTCCGCCACGCCCTAATGTGAATCCCGCTGAGACTGCTGTATCCCATCTGAACGTGCTCGAATCGCACACTTTACGTTATTGTGGGCATCGTCCATGCTTCCAGAGTCACGTAAAGTGGTGATGGTGCAGGGAAACTTTGATGATACAGCGTACTGATCTCAGCCACATTCAGCCACTGGACATCGGAGCCCATTGTGCTACATACTAGAAACTATATATCACAGTGCAAATAAGGGCTACGTGACGGTATACAATGACAGGTTGGGACAAACCTGCACCATAATTGGTTTAAAATACTATAAAAGGTAAATACATTGGGCCAGTCCGTCGCCAACTTGCCACACAGCCGTGTCCGGACTGTAACCGGCATGGTAGCTCGGTCATGACCAGTGTCCGGACTGTAAAACCGGGATGGCCGGTTCGGTCGTCCATCCTTGTCCGGATGGCGTCTGGCATGGAGGGCTCGAGACCGCGATTTTTGTCCGGACTGGCACTGGCATCTATCGGTATTTTCAGGGGTCCTGTATTCGGCCGACGGCCCTCGCGGATGACATCGTATTTACTATCTACCTTTGGCTTCCATTTCCGGTACCTGACAGTTAGGAGTAGTCGGAAGGTCACTTATACCTGTAGCTCTCTGTACTCTCCCCTTTTCCCCATCGAATCAACGCTTGTATTGGTCTCAGCGTCTACTCGTCTCCCGTTCTACGTCTGTGCTTCGGTTTCGGTTGCCTTGACCGTTACAGAAGTGCCGACTTCATGTCGGCATCTCTGCCCCTGCTCTGGCTGCTTGCAACCAGGTCTAGCTGGTCATCGAGGTCGATGTTACACTGCTGCCTCTCATATTTGTCTCGGCTTTGTGTGGTTTGTTGACGCTAAGTGCTGCAATGTATCATATACTGTATGATTTCAATCTATTCGGCAGTCACATGTCACAGGGGTACCTGCCGAAGACAGAATCTGGCATTTGTCACTGGTCACAGGGCCTCTGGGATCGTAGAAATTACCATATATGGTATCAAAAGCTGGCCTGCAGCGCCACTTCGCACCATATATAGTAAAATGCCGAAATGATGAATCGGTCAGATGAGTCAAACGTCACACCGCCTGCCGAATAGATCGAAATGTATAGTGTGGCCGCGGTGGCTGCATTCGGCCAATGCCGGTAGGGTGGGAAATGCATTTTGAGGTCCCAGAAACCCCTGCAGAGCAGGGGCATGTTATTAACAGACCCCTCGAGGCAAGGCCGATTTGGGTGTTAAAAACTCCTCGTCTCGATAGCCTGGAATACACCATGCACCGGCAGAGGACCATACCCATAAGTCAGATATCACTGGGACATCACGTTATAAAGACCCCCTGATGTACTTCAGCTTGCAAAGTGCACATTAAACAGCTCCGGGAGAGTGCAGTGGAGGCCTACCAGGCATTTAGAACCGCAACAGTGTTTTTGACAATCTTGATATGTCTTTTTAACATGTAATTAAGCTGTTTCAAACTAAATGTTATTAACTCTTAATAACCCTGTCAAAAAGGGCTTCGGAGCGCACCATGTTATTAACATATGTTATAAATTCCTGACGAATTATTCACCGTACCCTAGTGAGAATCTCCGGATTCTCCCGATGGTGTGGGTCCTTACTCTAGAGAGCTCTTATACGTGACCAGGCTTTATTGGGGGCAAATATTCTGCCCTCAATGTTGGTACGACAGGCTGGTTACGAGCCTAGCTAGTGATGTGCAGGGCCTGGCTTGGCTCGAAGCCCCGGGCTTTGGCCTGGCTTGAGCTGGCTTGGGCCTGTCACCAAGTCAAGCCAGGCCCTAGCGTCGGGCTTTGGCCTGGCTCAGGCCTGGCTCAGGCTCAGGCCAGGGCTTCCATTCTTGGAGAAGGAATGGGTACTGGAGACGTACCAAGCATGGGGTTACGCACCCTACTTCATCTAATGCCCACTATGTACAAGGTTAGTGATCCTATATACATCTGAAGAGCACAACATGCTCACCGGACTGTGTTTAGGTTACCGGTGTGCCTCAAACCCGCAATCTTAAATATGTGTGGGTACTGTAAGCCATTAGAACAGCCCCATATAGGGCTATGATGCATGAGGTTAAATCCACAACAGGTACGGTGTGACTTACCTGTGATTTGAAGTCCGGTTCAGCTCATTTAGCCAGTGCCACAAAGCCCCGGGCCTGCAGGGCCTGGCTCGGGCTTCGGACAACCCAAGCCAGGCCCTGTCCTCGGGCTTGAGTAGGGCTTTGGCCTGGCTCGGGCCTGCTGAAATAGGGCCTGGCCTGGCCTGGCTCAGGCTTGAAGCCAGGCCGGGCACAACACTAAGCCTAGCGAGCTCTTTAAGAGTCTAGATCTGGCACTTCCAGTGTGACCTAGTCTGGAATTTCCGGAGTGCACGCACTGGCACCTGAAGAGTTGTACTGTGAGTCTCTGTTATAGTAAGCCTAGTGAGTAAATAAAAACATCCGTGTCACTACCAGTGCTACGTGCGTACATTGCGAACAACATTCATACTGTGAAATCCTTTCTTCGACTGCAGGCCTATGTCGAGACAGACATGGTTATCATGACTGGGTTCCGCTCAGATTCTTCATCATCATCTCCGGAGTGCATCAAGTTCCCCCACTCTAACCACCAATCCTCTATCGTTTCCTGCTCGTCGTAATCGAAAATATGAATCCACTCTTCCCATGTTTGCCTGAGGAACTCATCGACGTCTTCGTCCTCATTGTCCCAGTCTCGGAGTGCCTGCTTAAGCGCCGCGCGCATCGCCTCGTCGCGCGCTTGTTGTGCCGGGCCATTGGGCATGTTCACAAATTCTAGCACACTGCTCTCTGCCCGGTAGATCTGCGCCCCCCGCCTGAGGCGAATGCCTTCATAGGCATCCATCAACATCGCGATCTGGTTCTCGTTATGTAGACGGCAGAAAAGTGCCCCAAGTGTGACTCACTGCGGGCAGAGACCGATGTCCCGCCGGCAAGCATGCTATGAACATGCCCCGGTTGGGAGAACACTTTCCTAGAATGGTCTTTGTTGGACCACGACCTGGACATGGAGAATGTCCCTTGAATGAACAAAGGCAGATCCGCGGGACATTTACTATGCTCTCTAAAGATCAGGGGACATTTGATTCACATTTTTCTCTCATTCTTTATGTCTCTGCCAAGTCCCACTTCAGAGCATGCAAGGAAAATGTTCTCCCACCTATTTCATGAATGACAAATGTCCGGTGGCAGGACATCAGTGCTTGCCCGCTGTGACTGCGTCTTCAACGGCCATAGCCACATTCTGAGTCCCGTGGAACTACATACACGGAGATCGTAAGTCAATATGGCATCCGGGCCGCCGTATGGTACTCGGGAGACTCACGGTCAAGTAATTTGCAGCATCGCCTACTAACAGTATATGCTGGTTGTCATGAACGATATTATCGTAGGGTTCGTGGACCACCATCGTTGTACATCTAACGTCCAATATCCGAGCATATTGAAGGAGCTTCTGGACGCTACGAGGTGTAAATCAAGGCCAGATATAAAGCACTTATCATACCTGGGCTCAAACATATCCACCGGAAACTTCAGGCTCTCAAAAGGATATTTCTGGGTCCAGTGCTCATGGATTATGTCCGGGTGACGTTCCCACATTCCGGTAATTCCGTACCCTGCTCTCTGGCGAAAGATCATTCAATGGTCGGGAATGATCTTCCGGCAGTGAAAGACCTTACATTTGGATTTCCCAGGACCGTGCATCCGTCTCCCATCCACATCATCCACTAGGCATTCGGTGAGTTGTGCACAGCTGGTGCTGGAGGGAACTCACCCGCTGCACCGACGTCAACGCTGATAGCTCCGAATCAGCCTCAAGCATATGATATGGGATGTTGAAACTGCTCCTCATAAGGCTCGATATGCAGCATAACATGTTATGACTCACCAGAGGATAGCCTTCTTGAATGTTCCTTCATCATAGTTGTCGATGACATGAGGCCGTACGACCGGAGCCGTCTGCGCCTATGATTATATCCCCTCTGATATTCTCACCTGTCGAGAGTACAACTGAGCTCTTCCCTTCATCTAGGTCGACCACTTCTGTGCTCCACATGATCTTCACCCCTACTCGTACTGCGAGCCCATGTATTATGTCATATAATTCCCCATGCTAGACTCACGGTAGTATGTGAGTGGTCGGATGTTCCCCGCGTATTTTGCATCGAAGAATGATACTCACTGGAACAAACAGTGACTCTGCGCCGAGATCCCGTATAATACGGTGCGGGAGAATGACTTCACCTACTTGCTCTCCAGTCTTCCCTGATCACAAGATCTGGTGAATTAGTCTTTGTTAAGTCTTACTGCTCACGTACCAATTCGATGCTAGTGCAAGACATTCTTGGCGGAATGAGACGATAGCGCCTCCCCTACGCCCCATCTATTCAAAATTCTAGTGAGGTTTGGTGGCACCCGGATACTGCCTGTCAGCTGGGCATATGAGCAAACTGCCCAACTACAATCACAAATATGATCATGCAGCTACCTGGTATTTTGTGGCGCTTCTCTCGATGACGACGACGCGATGTCCAGCGGACAATAAGGTATAAGCACAAGCCAGCCCAGCAATGCTCCCGCCTACTATGACAAACTGCAAGCAAACAGATGCCTTCCGATCGGAGTAGCTCATGGTGGCAGAGAGTTCTTCTGGAGGGCGTCCGTAACGCTAGACCAAATCCAGCCCGACGATATAGTCAGGATCAACTGGATATTGAGGAGGCGCCGTTTACAAGTCTAGCCTGACGTCGAATAGTAGCTTCCCAGCTCGTATAACACTCTTCTCTGCTTGGGGCGGGCAACTTCGCTGCGGTCTCCAAGGAGGTGTGGGACACATAGAACCTATGGCGGCTGGTCAGTGTAAGTTCCGGCGAAACAACTGCTACGACAGATGATCACTTGATGAAATCGTTCCCACATGCGCGAAGAATGATCGTCTCCTGGATGAGGAACGACATGGCGCGCCGGGCACAGTAAGGCTGAGCCTACTGTCACCCCCGGGCCTTAGATTATTGCGAAGATCAGGCTTCGTCTTTCGGTCGACCGGCGCCGTAGCCGTAAGACATCACCAAATGAACATCGCATTCCGTAATTATCTACTATCATAATCAGGTCAGTCATCATCATTGCTCAACACTATCGCCCATGTTACGAACACCGGAGCATTAGTCTTAGTTAGAGCGGCACACGTAGCTACCTGGATAGCCTGCGGACTCGAGTGTCCAACATCTTCAATGATAGGTGAGATGGCGAATGCAATCAAACCAAAATTGGGCATTGAGAGGCAGGTAATGCCTCGGACGAGACGGTATAAGAAGTTGGTCTTTCAAGCAAGTCGTCAAAGGCGGTCGCAGCCCGCGCTATACATCCTAGCAATCGTTGCTGCGTGGCTTGCAGAGCGAGGAAGGATTGTGTAGTCGAACGGTAGAGGTTTCCTAAGAGAAATCAGAGAGGTCGTGTCGAAGTGAACCGAGTAAGTGAGACACGTACGAAGTGATACCTGACGTGCAGTTGTTGGGATCGGGAAGGATCGATGCAGCGTCTAATTTGGTCTGTGGTCTTATATCAAACGCCCACACTAAACGGGTGACACCCAACCACACCGTGCGAGCTCCTACGCGTTATTAGGCACCGATCAAATGCGCAGGACGACGGGCATACCTAAGTGACGGCCAGGACAAATTCTATACAACGACTGATATCAGTGCTGTTACGAGGGTGAAGAATACTGCCCAACCTCCGGCCAAAACCAAAACCGTAGTGTCCTTCAATTAGAGTGTCCGGTCCTCTCGTGTGTGCATCATTTAAAAAACGGTCGGGATTGAATGTCAAAGGATCCGGGAATTGATCTACATTGTGCTGCATCGCCCATATGTTCGGGATAACCATTGACTTCCCTTTGATCAGATAGCCTTTGTAAACATCATCGGCTTCCGAGAAATGAGGGAACCCTCCAGGGGCAGTAGGCATCCATCTACACTTTGTAAGGAGCTTGCCACCCCCGTACATGAGATCCATACCTGAACAATTCCTTTGTCAATGCCATGCAATAGGGCAGTGACTTCATATGGGAGAGGTCCGGCGGATGAGAGGGACTTAATCCGCGAGAGCGTCGATTTCTGCCTGAGCCTTCTTCAGCGTCTCCGGAAACAGGATAGCGGCCATAATAAACCACATAAAGGTCCCAGCAGTAGTATCAGTGCCGGCCTCGAATGCTGATCCTACGACTGAGGAGCACATGGTCAGTACCCTATGCAATCGCTACGAAGCGTTATCCTACTGTATGCCAGAGACTCCGTTTCTAGCGCATCCTTATCGTGGTCTTGCAACAGCCTTCCTGCAAAGCAATCCGAGTCGTCGCCGGCGGCAATCCTCGCCTCCACTTCGCGCATAAGGTGGGTATAGAGCTACTATGGCCATCATTCCTCAACACCAAGGAACGGTGGCTATATAACTTGCCTTGGTCTCGAACACATGCTTCTCGTGGGCAGATTTTCGCCAGGGAGAGAGAAAGTCAGGTAAACAATCAAGCATTGGAAGAGCGTCGACCAAGTGAGAACCGGGATAACAATCTTGGATAAAGTTATCCAGAATGGTCAAGACAGCGTTGAGATCCTGATCGTCGTCACTCAAGCGCTTCCCGTAGCTTAAGCGAAAGACTGTGGCAGCCGCATATCGTTTGCTATTAAGATCTGCCTCGAGTGGCTTTGTCAGCATGTTATAAAGATACCTGGTAGACTCTTCTTCTTGCATGGCCTCATATGAACCGATGACTGGAATGCAAGAGATGAGCGGATGGTCGGCAACAGATACTTGCTCATACCCCTTGGCTGGAGCATTTGGTAAAATGCAGCACGATGCAGCTTCAGCTGAGGGCCGTACGGTAGCAAAACCAATCTCTTCCCGCGTGATTGATATTTACCCGCATAAACCAGAGGCTTGCGCGAGAAATAGTTATGGGACCGTCGGTTGAGCTAAGGCAATTGAATCAAGGGCGGAAGGTATACGACGAATCACACACGCACCAACTCTTCGGCATCATCAGGGTGATTTAGAATCACTAAGTGGTCACCGGCGAGAGAGAGACCCACGACAGGACCTGATTTATATTTGGGTCATATGCACCATTCCGACATGCATAGAAACCGGCCCACCATAGCGTTCACCTAAGGACTCGAAGTAACGCCAAACCTGCTTTTTTGGGACTTGAAAGATGTGGCCAACGAGTGGAAGTCCGAATGGTCCCGGGAGGCGACTGTGAGGGGCGGATCCACTCGAGCCCACCTTAATGAAAAATCGCAATGCCAGAAACAGTGTGGCCGCAGCAAGACTCCGCTGTAGCCAGAGTATCATAAACGATGTCATGACAAGTCAGAAGGTTCTCAAGAGAAGCTGATGCAATGCGCTTGATATACTGTAGTACGCCTGCGCCAAAACAAGTGTGTCCCCAATCAAGGGATTTAGGTTTCGGAAAGGTATGATGTCAAGTTACAGGTCCGAGATCGCAGCTTGGATGGCGCGTATGAATGTAGCGTCCGGTAGAAACGGACTCTGAAAACACGACTTGACTGGACCTCTAGAACAATATGATTAAAGTATCGACTAATAGTATAGCAGAGAACGTACACGACGCGCGAGAGCGGGGCAACGGAAGATACATGTCAATCATACTTGGATCCCCACGGGTTCCTTCATGAGAAACCTAGCTTAGCCTGAGAATGCTATCACGAAGTCAGTCATCCGCATACTGATTGCCATAGTGAGGTTCGAGGTACCCGGACCCCGATCAATCAAGCCAGATGCAGAAGATATGTCGCCGTAGAACCTCACGGGGACATGTTCGAGTTTAGCACCACGCAGGTGTTCATACGTCGAGGTATACCGAGGTTACACGAGGCGCCTTCAATTCCTGAGTTCCCTAATCATGTTCTCGTTCCAACACGTGAATCAAATTCATGGACCTGGGCACCAGCTCGCACGGGAAGGTCTCTGGAACACTAGAAGGCGTCATTGAAGTGAGGTACTTGTTGTAAAAAACTCATAAACATACCTGACCATACCGGAACTAACCTTGAAATCATGCGACGGTAGTGGGTTCTCGGTGCCCTGCTTATCTTTGGTGCGCCTGATATCGAAGACGGACAGAATTGTAACGAAGACTATCCACAGGTGATCTTCGGCGAAGTTCATACCAGGACATGAGCTGCGATATGGAACGAAGTCAGATCACTGGTATGTAGCCGCAGGTCATAATATCCGCGTACCGCCGGCCGAAACCGAATGCCACTTCCCTAGGGTCGAGCTGGGGTGTCTTTTCCGTACCAGGCATGTAACGGTCCGGATTGAACTGCGAAGGGTCCGGGTACAATTTCTCGTCATGAAGAATCGACCTGAATGGATACCGGTAGATGAATCATGGAGCCCAGGTAGCTCGACGCGTGAGTAGAGAACGTACGTACCACACATTCACGAACACTATGGACCCTTTCGGAATGACATATCCTCGATATTGATCAACTTCGTTTGACTGATGTGGGACCGCTGAAGTGGCGTATTAATGGAACGATTGATTGATAGATCGGCGAACTGTTCTGCGGCGTACCTAGGGGAACAGCGGGGACCCACCGAAACACTTCGAGAACCAGGCAGAGGCAATACTGTAGAGCCGCCTTGTCAGAGAACTCGGGGAGCCGCTGCCCTTCGGTGACTAAGTCTATTTCAGCTTGTGCCTTCGCCATGACATCGGGGAAAAGGACCATCCTACGAATCGTCAGGATCGGTTGCGCAAAAGGTGCGAGCAGAGTGCTCACGCCAGCATGAATGAGTAGAATGCAGATAGGGTCTGAGTTATTATTCAGAGGCCGGAAAACAGGCAGTAATGGGTTGACGTACGGTATCTGCTCCCCCTGCATAGAAGTCCATGTTCATTAGATGTCGTCCATACTCGTGTAGCGCAGCATACCAAGATAAAGTACGCCTGCGGTCGCCTTTATAATATCCTCGTCCTGTCGCGATTCCTCACCCTGTAGCATATGCTCGACCAATGATGGACTCGCCGTTCCCTCGATCTCAAATGAAGATGAGACATACATGTCCGGATATTCACTAACGTACCAGAGATTGTTTTACGTCGCCGAATGGCTTGTTTATCAGGTCAGAGCATAACTTCCTCCATTCGCGAGCTTGCCGTCGAAATGTCGCTCCCGGGAGCCATTCGGGGACATACTTCACTGGGTTAAATACTCAAGAGTCAGAAATCCGCGAAGTTCTGGTAAGCGGAAGCATGCTGACAAACTGGAACGAAGTCAACCAGGTATTGACCTACATTTCCTGCAATCACTAGCGACTCCGTTGCTGCATCTGCTACGCGAACGTATTCGTCCCTGCGCCCATCATTTTTGCACCCGTACAAGATCGACATCATTGTTACCCCAGAAGCACTAGAGTCTCGTCATGAGCTTGTGATAGCCTGAACGCGCTGTTCTCATACTGTTTGATCAAAGAGAGACACCTGTCCGGAGACGTATGAAGCTCCCGGACCAGTTGACGGGCTTCGCGCAGCTGTATAGGATGATTACGAGGCAGGACTTGTTTTCGTAGCTGCCCCACGACACTTGACCTGTATTGCCTGAACCGAGGGCCGTAAGACATAAACTGGATAGCCCAGTCCCATCCCATGCTTGGCAATCATTGTAGTGAACAGCCAGCTCAGTCGACTGTAACTCACAGATCAGATATCATGGTAAACTTTGGCCGGTCAGAATAGATGCCACTTCGCTTCTCCAATAAGTCCCGCGCGACATGCAACGAGTCAAGGACTATCAGGTGTCGGCCCAACGCATTAAGGTGCATTATATCCCCTAGCACGCGCGTAAGAAAATGTCCGAGATACGCAGAAGTCTGGATACCATATGACTTGGACCATTCGGAGTACTTCAGCCATTGATGCGAAGGCGGTATTTCCAAAGCATTTCCAACTATGGGTAGTCCAGGAGGGCCTGGCGGGAGAGGTAAAGACCGTCGCAGACGCAGATACACCAGCACGGAAGCGAGAAAGAGGAAGAGTGTAATGGGAGTTGCTTGGAGCATTTCCGGAGTCGAGAGGAAGACTACTAAATGGTAGTACAAGCAAACGTGCACTGATTCGAACGTAGCTGTGGGTGGGAGTGCCAGTGTCCAAACATAGCCTGCTAATTCGTGATAATGATAGCACGGTTCAAGCGCTGAAGCTTGGGCATATCTTGGCGCTCGACTGAAGGATTAGCTGACACTATACCAAGTCTCCAAATGAAACAATGCGTTACATACATACGTCGTTGGACTCGTCGCAGCGGTTGAAATCTGTGAGACATGTGGCCACTTGCAGAAGAAGAGCGTGGGATACTGACTCGGACGACTCCGGGACCTCATCGATTCGAAGACTCACTGGCAGACACTACTCTAAGGCTCCGTTCGGTTGCACGGCCGCGTCGCGGCGCTCTCAAGGCGCCACAGCCAGCTCGGCCGTGTGGCAGTGCTTTTAGTGAGAGGCGATTGGCTGAAAGACTGTTTTGGCGTCGTTGGCCGCGACGCGGCCATGCATCCGAACGCAGCCTAATAAGGCCGCAGGGCCGCGCTCGTGCGCAGCAGAACCCGCTACCTTTGACTCGAACTGCGTGTAGGCAGCAGCTTCGAATGGGGCTCCTCAACCTCCTGCAATGTATTGATAATTTCATAGACCTATGGCGCAGGACATGTATAACATATCACCACAAGTCTCGGAAATTTATATCAGAACTGAACAAGGCAGTCATGTTCTTCATGCTCCAAATCTCCGGTCTCAACCACCCCTTATGAATCGAATGTCCTGCCACTTCTATGCATCCCTCTTGCCTGAGTGTTCAAGTTCCTCTGCCTGTCACTACATTCAATACCATTCACCCTCCGTTTCCTTTTGTGATATGTTTTGATGTCATACTTTCCTTATTTGAGACTTTAGGGCAGGTTTCTCCCGATCTTGCAAATCTACTATGTAAGTTGTCCACATCAAGGACGCCAAAACCCACTACCAAAGGTAGCGGGAATGATAATAAAACGCATGGGGAGGTGTTCATAGCCAAGAGGGGGTCAACGACACTGACCTCCCTTAGTGACAAGGACCCCGGAGACACAAAGGGGTAGGACCACCTTCCGCAGAAGGTCTGCCGAGGGCTCGGCACTGACATCATGTATCCGTAGTCAGCCTGACTTCCCATGTCTGCTCATTCTCCTCGACGCGTCTGTGGCGCAAAAGCAGCCAGTATATGATAACTTTGGTTCCCAAGCTGTTATGAGTCCGGCTAGCCTTGGTATGTTAGAAGTGAATATGTATTGGTAGAAGTACTTGATATATGTATATACACTAAAGGAATCTGAACCATTATACTGCATGTCCTAGAATATTAATCATTGGACTGCTGCTTAAGGTCTCGCTTGCAAAGCTCATGTAGCAGCAGCCTAGATAATCGCCAGTATCGCCGACCGGTTTCGCTGAGAGGGTAAAGTACTTACGCGGATATGTGAAAGAGTACGCGCGGAGTATTTCGTTGAGTCCAATATCGCGCGGACGCGTCTGTCACGTGACCTGATGGATGGTCGGTGAGATTTTTATTCACTCATTCTGGGTATTTTCTGGCGGTTTTTTGGTGCTATGGCATATTCTACATGAGAGGACTCCTTATGCAGCATTATGTATGATATCGAATGAGGGAAACGTCTAAGACGCAGAATGACCGCTTTTAACGCGATTTGGGACCCCAGACACTGAAGAGGGGCCTACTGATGGTGAGGTCCGTGTCAGAGATCCGGATCTTTGCCCCCTCTTGTTCATAGCTGCGATCAAGCTTTTACGGTCACCAACTTTTCCTGAACACCACCCCCTGGATCCTTTGGACTCGGAGTCTTGTCTATGCCGCTATACTACATAAATGGCACGTTATTCGTATCAATATTGGTGATACTGCCACTCCATAAGGATGTAATCCGCTAAGATCCCAGCCCATATTATAAAACCCGTGTCGCCGTTAGCCTAGAAAGATGTGAGTAGCATTAGACCACAACCACACGCATTCTCACCTTGAACTTTCCCCAGCAGTCAGCCGGATCGTCGACGTCAACAGTCCGGAGTTGCCAAATGAGATGCATGGCAGCTCCAGCAATGGAAATTATAAAGAATGGGGCACTGTGTTCGTTTACGACGCCGACATGCCACAGGCATCCGATGAATATGGCCGCAAAGCACGACAGGATTGGACGGACTTCCGAACCAAACAAAAGTGCAGTAGATTTCACTCCCGCCTTCCGGTCGTCCTCCTTATCCTGCATAGGCCATCCATTAAGCTCAGCATGATAGTCACACGGGATACTCTGACCTGACAAGCGTAGATCGTATCATAAACAATTGTCCAGCTGATATTTGTGTCATCTGCTGCCGCCAGATACCAGCTTCGAAGGTCACATACTTACCACGCAGATCCGATAATGAGGGGTATGAAGAGCGATAGGTCCATGCGTCCAGTTTCTCCGGCCCATGCGACAGTGAAGCCCCAGTTCATTGCAAGCCCTGCCCATGAACGTGTCAATTTTCCTACTTTACGCTGAATGTGTCATCTTACCGAGCCATGCTTGAGGCCAGTCGATCCAACGCTTCATGAGGGGATACAAGGCGTGTAGAGGGAATACTCCGAAGAGCGCGAAGCCTTGACTGCACCGCATGATAATACCGCCTAGGGTTGGCGTACTGCTAAGAAACAGATGAGATGACTTACGCGACACTATTGCTCCATGAAATCATCCACGCGCAAGCAATCAGATGCAATAGAAGGCATATCAAGGCCTCATTGAGTGAGATTGCGCCTGACGCGAGCGGTCTCGTCTTCGTTCGCTCTGTTCTCACATAGATTAATCTTCACAACCTCGAAAGCCTGATATGCCCTGTCTGCTGGAAGGCCTGGCTTACCCACTTGACGGTCAAAATCGATATCACAGATATCGTTTATGATGCATGCGGCGTTGTGGGCGAGGGTGCTTCCCGCAAGATAGACCGCAAGCTTCGCAAGTAGCTCTGCGGCTGGCGTGCGGGAATGGTAAGCCGCCATCGTCAAACCCCAAGCTTCGTACTTGTGGTCAGGCTCTATGTACGAGTGTATATTCCTGCCAAACGTACCGCACGGCCAAAATACCAGAATGCTCCCCACGGGAAACTTATGAAGCCGAGTCAGTTCAAAGTATAGTCCCCATTTCGGACGACACGCGGGTGGTGTCGACGAGATCTTCGTGTCGTGGGTATCAACGATCATACTTCAGAAATACGATGAGGAGGGTAGTGTCGAGTGCTGCTCGATTCTTTCATGCGGCATAAATGCGCTAATGCCGTATGGCCTGAGATTTCGAGAACCACTATAATAGCACACTGCACATCAGAACCTGTACAGCAAGGCTTCCCTTCCCATGATTACGACATGAGCATCTACTTTTCCTGAGGCACGCTGGGATCGAATTTATCTATAGATGCGTCAGATCCTATCGTAACTTCATCTTGAAGCCCCATCAAGCAGGTGTCAAATCCGTGAGCTTCCAGATATTCTCGGAACTGAACGATCCATATCAGAGATGGGATGTCGTGATATTCACGAGTCAGCGCAACGTACCAATAGGTCCTCTTCCATCATACAATCATGGGACAATGGTTTCACCATGAATATTGTTACCAAGGTGCTAAAGACAACCAAGCCTATCGGTGATGTCAGCTGAAACCACCATGCGAATGACCGCGTGAGATGAATACTGTACCGCTGGCTATCCAAAAGGGCCCCGTTTCAGCCAAAATGCTATTCCCGAAGCCTGCCTCAATTTGAGTATATAGCGAGCGTCAACCTCAAAGCTTCATACCGTTGGTAATGGCTGGGAAGGCTAGAGAGTGCACCTGTCAATATAATAGGATACGGCCCACGGAGAGGTAGACATACCCCATATACCTGCAAGCGCACCGACTTTCCCAGCAGCCGCGGCTATTCCATAGAATTGACCCCGCACAGCAGTCGGAGCCGTCTTCGCGGACAAGAGGAAGACGCAGTTACCCGGACCTACCCAGCGTCAAGAGCTGTTTATGGGTTAATCATTGCCGACTCACCAACTTCGCTGAAACTCAGAAAGAGGCCGTAAAGAATCTCCCCACCATGTCAGTCTGCTGCCTCCTGCTTCAGTACAGAGCGCACTCACTGCAAAGGCGGCGACATGTTCTGTCAGACTGAGCAAACGGTCATTATAAAGGAAGCTGACACCCGGCTGGAAAACGTACGGCTTGTATAAGGCACTGAGAAGGAAGCCAACCACGGCTTGCAGAGTCAATCCCAACGCTTGGCAGTACTTCGGCCCTATGGCATCCATGAGGAATGCACCCCCTATCGTCCCTTCACAATCGTTCTTCCATCAAATGCTCGTAGAACGTAAAGAGGGCACGTACCTGGCATGTAGAGCAGACTGGTATACAGATTCTTAGTGATCGAAAGAAAGGCCAACGGGACAGGCGGCGCACTTGATAACGACATTCCAGCCAAAAATTACTTCGAGTGATTGTGAGCCTCCTGTGATACTGGTAGAATAAGTCAGGATCGTCGCAGACAAAACTTACACAACATACGTGTTGATGACTGTTGACGAGAAAATTTCGAACTGAAGTTGTTGAGCGAACTTGTAGTACAGATCGTGGGATAAAAACATACTGGGTACCTGTAAATAACATTTCAGAGTAGAGCACACGAATCACGAGGCCGGACACTCACAAGATGAAGTCGTATATGCACCAGACGATGCAGAGCGGAAGGAGGCTTCGCCAATATCGCTTAATCACAAGCTTATATGGGATTTTTACGCGCTTCATTGAGTCCTTCCGATAGCTTGGTGTCTCTTCCATTTGCATCATTCTCCACACGAATACTGCGATCGCCGGAACAACGCCTAGCCCCAAAGACAGTCGCCAAACCGCCCTTAGGTGGTTGTCACCGAAACTATTGGGGCGTATCATTTAGTAGGGACACTGGGAGCAAGACATAGGTGGAATAGCAAACCAACATCCAGTATGCCACGAGCGGAACAAACGAAGATACGACGATTCCAAAGTTCAGCACGGAATCTGCGCACCCATCGTGATGAAATGAAGGATCAAAATGATTGAGCTACACACGTACTTGTGGACAAGGTAAACCATCGATGCTGCGCCGCCTTTTTGATAGCTGCTTCTTCTGACAACTCGGCGGCGGCGACCGCACCGCAGCTGTACTCGGCACCTATCCCAATCCCAAGGAGGAATCTGCATGCGCTAAGCATCGCCAACATTCCTCCAAGGCTACCATTCGCTCCGTGGGATGCAGCAGAAAGGCCCGAGAACACGGCCACTATACCTGATGCAAACATCTTATACACCATTCGTAAGTGAACAAAGTGCAAGGACGAATATCTAAGACAAATACGCACCATGCCGAACTTACGACCCACTTTGTCCGCCAAGTAGCCGAAGCTTACCATCCCTACAATCGTGCCGGCAAAAGCCAGACTTGAAAGGGTTGTACTATAGTTGTTCTTCGTCATGGCTGCCTTGCCGTAAATACGTGTGAGGACTAATCGACCCGTGCTGTTATTTTGAGATCGCAAAAGAGAAGGAGGACAGTATTACTCGTGTTGACTATTATTGTGCAGTGAATCTTTGAATGCAACCACTACTAAAACTGTGACTTACCACTGCCAATGACTCCATTAGCGTATCCTGCGAATAAACTTCAATTCCACTTGAACTAGAGACCCAGATAAGGAGCTTACCGTCAGAGAACAACGCCGTCCCAGATCTGGAAATCGTGTTAGAAGATGGAGGAAGCTTGCAATGGGACATCGACGAACGCAAACATAAGGGAAAGCTGGGACCAACGCATTCTTTCTGTCTTGCCAGGCATGAGGGGAAGCTCTGTAGACCAGCAGGGAGCAAAGGGCGCCCGAAGACTTGTGGTGCATCCATCCCGTATATATACCCAAGTCGCTCGTTTGCCTAGAGCTCAAGGTACGAGCAGCGAGAAGGCCAAGTAATTATATGGTGAACCCAAACTGACAGATGGAGAAGCACTGCGAGCAATAGACACATACCAACATGTTCGGCTCGCAGTGACAGAGAGGTCAGCAAGCCAAATCCCAATGAGTCCGTCCCGACTAGCTCAGACGTCTTGCGTGATTCTTCGTCGCATGACGAGGGCTTAATAGTCCTCAAATACCTGCAAAAAAGCATCACCATTGAACAAAGAGTCACGTAGCAATAAGTGCAAGGAACCGTCGAGCTATGCCGAGTCGGAATCTCTCCGATAACAAGCTCCGTCCTATAATAGCTGAGACGAACGTGCGCCCGGCAGACCTATGATATCGCAGTTCCTGGATCATAACCTGAACGCCACGACGCCGGGCCCCATTGCAAAGTAGGATGAGGAGCCTGAGGTATACGGGCACATTCACCTAGAAGAGGCTCGGTATCACCTGCGAGGAACCGATGTGTCGCAAGGATCCGATTCCAGTCTACATGTTTAACCGTTGTGGCGATCTTGGGACGGGAATAAACGGTTCCATTTTCCAGACGCATTCGAAAGATGTGAATTGGCATGGGTGCGAGATGTTCAGCAGAAATGACCTTGAGCATAGTGGGCATTGAATATCGTCAATTCAACCAGTGTTGCTGGCAAGCCGGACCTTGCCGAAACGTTCAATTGGTCCTATCCCTACCAGACGAGGACCGCGACATGTCATCGAAGTAGCTGAGAAGGACCCATTCAGGCCTCCGGATAACCAACGTCTAGATTCTCAGACATAAGGAGGATACTTGGTATATCCTGCGTCGACCGCCGGAGCAAGCGCCTTGCTATACTTGAGGGAACTGGGTGACCTGCGCGGGCGATCTGCGTGGAGGAAACCTATAAGCCGACATTATTGCGATAAAGGGATCTCTCACTGGTCGTCCGTCGCATCCTTATGTATAGAGGGATAAGATGGAAGGCCTGGCGATCCCGAGATTTCGCCACGGGATATCTGAGTAGGGCATGACGGGACGCTTTATCTGTGCTGCCAAGGGTCTGAGTCTATCGTGCCATGACGAAGTGAATATCCAGACCCGTGATAGGAAAATCAGATTCAACATCTTTATCGCTGCAAGCAGGACGTAGGACCGAGATAGGCAAGAGAGTTACATCCGCACAAAATCAACGCAGCAACTCAACAGATATAGATAGGCTCTTACGGTGTGCATTCTAGGAGGCGAATCGTTAATGGGGCGCTGAATAGACCCCTGCGGTTCGCGTCATCGTCGCCGCTCTAACCTGAGGGCACGCATCGATATTCACCCTCGCCAGCACCGCTAAGAACATCGCACGCCAGCCATTAGATGCAAGCTTACCTGGGAGTCTCATAGCCAGCGTCCTTCGAAGAATTAAAGGAAGGGGAACACTCTTGGAGCACTCGCATCGGAGAAACCGCGCGCCGCATCCAGACAGACGATCCTAGTGCTGGTCGACCCGCCTTCGATTATCCATAGTCGAACAGTACGAATGAATATCCCTCATATCCACTGACATCAATGAACGCGGAGATGAAGCACAAAAGCAGATCGGAGCGCATCATCGAAGCAACGCTCGGTCTCGTGATATCCGTCAGCCAACGGGGATAACGCCTCAAACGCACAACCTGCAGAAACAGGAAAGACGATCAAGCTTTGCCCTCGAATGTACAGATCATCGTTTGGTCAGAGGCGTATAAAGAGAGGGCTCTAGACGGTCTAGAGAGTCATCACAATCATCACTCACCGCTCAAAACAACTCATCCATTCCTCCCACTCACCAAACAAGCATCGACATGGCCGGAAAACGCACTGGAAGTGAGAGCCTGTCCCTCCATCACGCCGACAACGGGTCTAACGCACACCCACAGCATCCCCGCCGTCCGGCGGCAACAAGATGACTGGCAGCGCCTCCGCGCGCATCCAGTCCACGCAAGTAAGTCGTACACTCCCTCTTAACCTGAGCGAACACGGTACTTACGCTCAAGGGCGCACAGGCCAAGGGGGGAAACGACACCGGCAAGGGGAGTTTCCCCGCTCGTGTTCAGTCCGCTGCTGCTCGCAATACGAACGCAGGTAGCGCTGCGGGTGCCGGCGCTGGAGGAAAGGCTGGCGGTGCTAAGGGTAACAAGGCATAATCGGCTGCGCTGGGTGGTGGAGGCGTTGGCTCTGCTGAAGCCCAAAGAGTGTGTGAAGACGAAAGGGAGACTGAGTGGTTCTTTACTTTGATTGTAACGTCCGCACTGGAACGCATTGTATGTTTGGAATAGACTTCTTGAAATCGCGCAAGTGGTCCGCATAGCGAAGGACTGATCATGGATTGGTACGTGGGAGAAATAATGAGGACGCTGGATCAGCATCAGTTGTATGGCTTCCTTGGAAGCATCGCGGCAAGGGACGCGGAAACTCGCACCGCGGTGCAAGAGCAACGACATGCCGAACACGGGCTGTAGAGGCTTAGGGCACGATGGATCTAAACGATACTCGTCACGACGCTCTGAGAGCATGAGAACGCGCGCGCCCAAGAGACCACGGAGAGTGCTCCCTAGCCTACCGCGGCGAGTAACACTCTCCATCATCCCTTGGGAACGGCATTCTCATACGCCCCATAGACTGTGAACTTGTTATTGGGTGCATCACACGCCGTACATCTTCTTTGCATTCTCATTTGCCTCCTTCATCACCTTCTCGGTGTCCCACCCCTCCCCGACGACGCCCGCGACGAACTCGGCCGTCCAGGGGATCATCGCTGTGTGGCAAAGCGGAAGTTTACCTTTCAGCGCGGGGAGCGACGAGTAGAGGTTTGCCGGGATCATGAACGGCGCGTCGGTCTCGAGCAGGATGCGGAGAGGAGGGGTGGATGAGAGATGCCGGATGACGGCGGAGGTGTTGAGGTTGGTCGAGTACGTTATCACGCCTGCTGATGTGTTATTTAACGGAATAAGAGCGGGACAAGGGGAAAGACGTACCTGTTATCCCAATGTAGAGATTGGGGAAGTGGTCCAGCAGCCTCTGCGCAAACTCGGGCGAATCGGTAAAGCAGTGGATGTGTATCTGCCGGTCCAGTCAGCAAAGATCCTCTGTATAGACCTCAAGATCGTACTCTATAATCCTTTGGGACTTCCTCCTTCAATATCCTCTCGGTATCTCCTTCCGCCTCGCGCGTGTGGATCGTGAGCGGCTTCCCGAGCCGGACGGCGTGTCGCAGTTGCCTGCGCAGGACATCCTGCTGGATCTCGCGGGGCGAGTTGTCGTAGTGGTAGTCAAGCCCGATTTCGCCCCAGCCAACGCAGCGCGGGTGGGTCATGGCATCTAGACTAGGTACGCGTAGTTAGAGGAAATCCGTCTACTTCCGCAATGAGATACGAACATATCTTTCTCGACATCGTCAGTGTAAAGCTTCGCTTCGTGACTAGGCACACCCTTTTCAGTTGGCTTAAACGGACGCGAGGCTTGCATAGCTTACGGGTGTACTCCTGCATTTCCAGAGTCAGGTCACGGATCTGCGCCCACTTTGCAGGGACATACCCATCACGAACCAATATTCGATCCCTCCCCAGTTATCCCGTCTCCCCTCCGCAGTAAGCGCCGAGTCCGCCAACTCCTTCCATACCTTCTGCACCGGTGCTTCACACCACACATCCACGATAGCCTCGACTTTGTGGCGGGACTGGGTGTATATACCCTTCACGAAATCGAAGATGCTGCCATATCTCCCTTCGCGGTACTTGCTCTGGTACGATGAAAAGGTAGATACCAAATGCGTATGCGTGTCGACTATCTGCTCCGACCCGCTGCAACTTGGGTGTGCGGGGAGCAAGAGATGGGATTCGTGTGGGACCTGAAGCTTTTTCTTGTTGTTTTTTCCCATTCTCCTCGTCGGCGCGGATGATAAGTATCGCAAGCGGTAAAATTGAGGACAGGTAACTTGTTGTAGTTGTAGGACAAGCTTCGGCATTATGGCGCGATTACTAAGTTCGGCTAATGTTGTCGGGAAAAAAATATGCACGTGTCACTTACGCGCGTCTGACTCTGAATCTCCCACTGTGCCAGAGCAACGCATCGAATATTAATATTATAATTTCGGTTTGTCTTCTTTCCTTTCACTATTACTCTTACACTAGTGTGAATCTCCGGTAAAGGGCTACAGACGCTGACAGCTTACAGTGAGAACGGTTTGGACTACCACCCCATTGACCCCCCGGTGGCAGGATGAGTTCAAGAGCCTTGCCACAGCGACTGGCGCAAGAATGAACCGAGAGGTATGATAGAAGAGGGGCATGCAATTTGACAACGGAATCTAATCTCAGCCGTTACAGCACATCTACTACCTCCGGATCCGCTGACAATGGAGCCGTTCCTAGGGCAGAATAAGCACGTAAACAGAGGCGGAAGTAGCTTTGGCGCCTTGAACGTGTCGAACAGCATCCAGTTCCAGCCGTTTGCAGATCGATAGGCCGTCACGTCAGAAAGTCACATATAGTCGGAGTGTGTCGGACATGGTGCCACGGATGTCCCAGAAATTAAACGAAGTCCAAGTGGTCTGATATTGGGGTCTTGGGGACTTGAATTTCCTTCTCCAACATGGTCCGACTGTAAATGATTTTCGAGAAATGGGCCCATCGAACTGCAAACGGCTGTCATACTTCCAGTTACGAGCGTAGTGAGCATTCATAAGGAAATAATGTATATATGTAGGTTTCAAGAGCTCCCGAGTTGCCGGAAATACGTTTACCCATTCTCGTGGCTGTACTACTCGTATTGCCACTCGCGCCGGTGTGGCAGTCACACGCGCCACTCTCTTCTGACCTCTTCACACCCAGCATCCCTATCGACGCGATATTCAGCGAACTGACGCTTGAGGAAAGTATGGAGAGTATTCCTTCGTATGTTCGACCTTTTCCTATCACCTAGCGACTTCTCTTAGTCACCCTCTTTTCAGTGCGGCCGACATTTTTGGCGAGATTAGGCTGGATCCCGCCACACAGGCGATGTTCGACGATGCAGAGAAACATATCGCGCGATGTGTGATGGAACTTGCAAGACTTCGGCGCGGTCGCAATGGCTTGCTACCTGTTGCGCGCCTCCCAACAGAATTACTTGTCAAAATCATAACGCTCGCATGGGAAGAGTGTGCGCAGGCCAACCCTTCCTACCTTCTCGGAATTTCCAACGTATGCAGTCACTGGAGGGATGTAGTTCTAGGAACCCCGGCTCTATGGTCCCGTATTAGCCTCGAGAGGCCATCCCACCTGAAGGAGCTGTTGAAGAAATCTGCACAGCGTCCGCTCATGGTGGTGGGAAACCTTAGAAAGAATGATCCTGCAGTGGAGGCATTTAAAATTGCTTTGGAAAATCTTACTCGTATCCGCTCTTTAGATCTTCATCTCTGGGATAAGCCTCCGAAAGGTTTCAAAATGGTTCGGAAGCAGAACCTACGGAACATGCACTCCATTGCGCTCTCCGGGGAGCGGTACATCCACGGCGACACGAATTCCCTGAAGTGGATGTCTAAGCTCCAGCTTCCAAGCTTACAGAAATTTAGAGTGAAAGATCTCCGCCTGGCCGTGTACAAGAATCTGCTTCTTCCAACATTGACTTGTCTATCGATTACTGGGGATTCACAAGGAATGAGCGTTTCCACTATCCTCTCTACTCTCTCGGCGCTCCCTCGCCTAGAAACACTGGAACTCTCTGGATGCGTGCTAATTCCGGATGACCGCAATGGATATAGGTCGGGATTGCAGGGAAGAGAACCCAAGACAGTCCTGACACATTTGCGGTCGCTATCCTTGGAGGCAAACCTTATCGAGTGCGCCACACTCCTCTCAAGCCTGGATGTCCCTATGGGAACCGACTTGCGGATGGTACTGAACGGCTTGTACTACAAGTATCGGACCAACAGTAAACCGCTTCTGATGACGGAGGTGCTCAGCCCGATACAGACATTCATTCAGAATGTCGTGTCTGCGCATCCGCTGACGAAACTAGCTATCAGAAAAACGCGGAGGGAGAGCATCATTACAGAGCGGTACGAAGACTACGTTACTTGGCGGGTTGCGCCGGAGGGTAGCTCATCACCGTCAAGTCAAATTATGACCATCTCCGTTCCCCGTTCCAGAATACATCTATCTCGGCTGGAAGGGGATGATGGAGTGAGGGATGCTCTGCTCGGTTTCCTAGTTTCGCAGGATCTGGCGTCTCTACAGGTTGAAATACCTATGATGGCAGCCGATTGGAAGCGAAAACTTGGGGCACTAGTGAATGTCCGTAGGCTGTGGGTCACTGGCGCCGACCAGGAGTTCATTGGGGCGCTATCTTCTCAGGGGGGAGCCCCACTTTTATTCCCTCGTCTACAGCACCTCGTCATCGAAGAGGACGGCACCTGCTGTTTTGACGAAAAATTCGCCCGCAATGTATCTGCTGGACTGAAATCTAGGAAAGCTGAGAAAAGGCAAAAACTGGAGCGTCTCGATGTCCGCTGCGTCCAGACCTGGCCCCATGGACCTGTCAAGCGCCTGCAGGGTGTCGTCGGGACTCTCACCTTCCTTACTCCATTCAGAATCAGCGAGTTGAGTATGGAAGAGACGTTTGATACCGAAGACGAGATGAGTGAGCTTGAAGACTCGGAATAATTTGGCGGAGAAGAGGTGGTTAGGTTGCAGCTGGGATGTACGCAAGGAGAACGGGGTGCTGATTATTTTTCCTTGTTGTTCTTGCCTCTTCTCTAAGCCAGCGCGGATGACAGATATGTAGAATTATATTTAGGTGGAATGTCATGGTAGAGGCACAGCTTTCAGCATTCCCGTGTAAATTCCCGAATCTGTATTTTACTTATTTGACGGAAAACATATGCACGTGATAGTTTACACGTGACTCATTTAAGTTGGCGCGTCCAGGACGCGTCCGCAATCCCTGTCTGCTCCTGTTCCTTACCATCACCTGCTTCGCCGGAATATGCAGGGCATGATACCTTGCACACACTGGCTCGCTCTCTGTTTAATTGGGCACATAAATTCCTCGTGAATGTCTGCAGCTGCATACAGGTGAGAACGCATCGGCGTTTGACAATATCGACCGAGCGACACCCGCTTAAATTGCAATTTTTGCCAGAATACGTTGACACTTTTACGTGGAATGTATAGGACCGCATGTGTTTAATGGGCCCATTATTCATAGTCCAACATACTGTGCGTGCAAGTCAGATCGAGCGGCTATGGTTTCTCTGAGAGAGGATCAATTACTGCCCCCGTTCCAGCAAAGGCTGCTATGACTAAACGCGACCTCGGAGAGGGGAGGCAGACAATCAGGTTGAGACGGGCGTGGGGAGCTGGGGGCGGGAGGAATAATACATCGGTTAGTTTCACTCACCTGCATATATGCGCCCTGAAACCCATTGAGGTCCTCCTGCATGCATTCTGCACGAGGGCAGAGTGCTCCAGGCACGGGTCACGACATTGCACCAGCAGCTGGACCTCTGGTCGATACATGCGCGTATATCCTCGCACTCCTTCAGCAATATGAGCTCCACTACTCGAAGGCAATCTGTGTACAATGAACGTCCACTGTGTGACACCTGCTCCATAGTGTCCAGGGCACTGGCCTTTCTTCGGGCAACTGGCTCGGCTCGTCAGAGAGCGCCTTGAGGCCTGCGTGGCTTACAATCAGGGCCCCTGCGGTAAGCTTGTTGGGAGATGATCGCTGTACTCCCTGTGTCGGGGGTGTGCCGGGACACCCCTTCTAAATGCGATGCTCCCCTTGTTGCTGCCGCACGCAAAGTCCCATCCCATGAACATCCAGCGCGACTCGGAAATTATGGTGGTAGCATGGGTGCATGTATACAGAGACGACCACCCATCCCAGGTATTCATCTCCTACCGATACTTCATTTCAGGGTCTAAAATAGCGCATATGCAAAAGGCATGTAAGTGCTGCGAAAGCCGATAGTACGTGATATCTGTCCGCCGTAATGGGGTGCGGGTAGTTGACAGTTGTGAGTCAGCGCCTGTGTATGAGCGTATCACAATATGATGGATATGCTTGCCAGCACGACTTGGAAGACTGAAGACCAGCAGTATTGACTCTATCCGTGGACACGCCATCCTCATTGTTTTTCTCCAGCGCCTGCACGTTCCGCGCTGGGAATATGCGCCGCCATAGCGCTACGCAGATGCCTTCGGTTTTCCCGCAACCAACTGCCAGTGAGCCGACTCAAAAGATAGTTCTGCGCATTGTATCGAAAGTTGATTCAAGGAAACATGTACAGATGCTGCTTGAAGTATGGCAACCAAAAAAGGCAATGCTGTGTTGTCGCGGTGGCCAGATGATGCCCGGCGCCGTTGTTGACGGCTGTATTTGGCCGTCGCCGTCGCTCTCCCTTCTACCGCCGTCGTCTTCAGAGTCCAGCCCTCCCTCCCTTTCTGTCCTCTTCCCCGCCCGCCCCGCACCTTGCTGCGGCCACATTCTTTTCTACCGACATTCCTTCTATTCACGACGCAGAAAGCACATATCTAACATGACTGGTTCCCAACATTTCAAGGTTGGCAGAGTCGGCCATGCCGGATCCCACTATAACAAGGTGCAGAAGCAGAAACGAGACAGTGAGTTATTCCCGTCGATTTTGATGTTCAAGTGTATGGACGCCTCTCGCAGCATGCTCGAGCGGCGGTTTCTACAAGTCTCCGTCGGGAGGCGACACCATCGACGTCTCGAGCAGCGACAAGTTCAACATGACGTGGGACACGTCCTGCCTCAACAGCACCGCAGTCGACATCTACCTCTACGCCCCCGGCTCCACCTCGTCCCTGCTGCACGTCTGGGAGAAGGTCAACTTCAAGAACGGCAACTACGACGCGGAGCTGAAGCCCAAGTGGTGGAATGCGACGAGCTCGGTCAAGCTGCAGCTCGCGATCGTCAACTCGGGTGACCCGCCGTTCCTGGCGACCATGCCCGCCGGACCCATCTTCAGCGCCAAGTACATTTCGCCCTCGAGTGGGTCGACGCCCGCGTTTGCGGATACGTCCGCGCTCGAGAACACGGTGGAGGTGGTGAACAACTTTGATACGCCGCACCATGGCCCGTCGAAGGGCGGCATCGCGGCCGCGGTGATCTTCCCGCTCCTCGTCGTTGCGCTCGGCGTCGCCGCGTACATCAAGTTCAGCCGCGAACGCGGCAAGGAGAAACGCAAGCGCTGGAGCGAGGCGGTCGACAAGCGCATGTCCACGATCTCGACCGACTGGAAGTCCATCTCCGCCGCGGGCGCGACTGCCGCCATCAGGAACAGCATCGCGGTCAACAACCGCGCCTCGTCGTTCTCTTTTGGTGGCGGGCAGGCGGGCGTCGGCGCGCAGGGCCTCTACACGCACGAAAACGCGCCGTTGGGCGAGGATGGTGTGCCTCAGATGAGTCAGCTGCGTCCCGGCGTGCGGGCGAGTGCGTATACTAGCGAGCGGGTCTCCCGTGTTTCGTTCGCCGCCGACACCCGTCCCTCTGGTGAGCACTCTCGTCGGAGCCTGGCTACCAGCCGGGCATTTCACAGCAGCTTCGTACCTCCCGTGCCCCAGCGCACGGATACTGGTATGACTGCGGATTCTGAGCCCCTTTCGCCTACCCAGAAGGCGGGTCCTATGGACCTCACCGCGGATGAGATCGAGGCCCGAATTAGCGGAGGTGGTGCTGCCCCTCGTCCCAGTGTTGATGTACTCCCGGCCCTTTCCAGTGAGCACATCCGTCACATTTCTCTCCACTCTATAGTTTCTAATACGCCATCTTATCTTCAGTGATGCGCACTGGTGCGAATGCCGATGGGGACAATGACTACATCCTGAGCCCTACTTCTCAGGCCGCCGAGTTGCCCACTCCGCCTACTCCGTCGTACTTGCCGCCCAAGTCTCCTATCATGGGAGCCATGCCTATGCAACCCATGCCCGCCAGCGTCATGTCCCCCGATGAGATGCTTCGTGCTTACGCCGAGTCGCGCAAGGCTGGTAACGGTACCCCTTCTCTCCCTGGGTCTCCTGCTCCGGCCTTCCCGACTCCCAGTTACAACGGAAGCGGTATGAGGACGCTCTACAGCCCGCCTGCTACCCCTGCGACGTCGCAGCCACTCATGGCCCAGTTCAGCGGCGAGACCAACCCGTTCAGGATCAGCATGGCCGTGGCATCAGAGCACAGCAAGACGAGCCTAGAGGGCCGTCACTCGCATGAACAGGATGGCGAGGGTTCCTATGATATGGGTTCCGCACGCTAGACTGCTTGAGCTAAGCAGTGGTATATCGGTCGCTGCTTCGGTGTACAGCGAAACCCGTCCGCCCAAGTGGTGGTAGACTCCTTCTCTCGTTCTGGTTCCAGGATGCGTATGACGGCCTTGGCGTTCTGCCGACGTACGCTAGTGTGCGTTACTCTGTTGCTCTATATACCTTCTCACTATACTCTCCCCTTGTAGTTCCACTCGCCCCGTGTCCGCCTTGTGGTTGTACCTTATCTATACTCTATCCTATCCTTCTTGGTATCCTTCTCCATCATCTTCATCGACTTCCTATTATTCTTCTCGATGAGGATACCCTGCGTTGACTGGTCACTGTGGGGCAGGTCTTACAGTTCTAATATACCCAATAGTGGTGTCGTATCTCATTGTGATTCAAATGTGTATGTTTCTTGGTGTTGACGTCCAGTGAGTCAAGACGTGTCTTTGTCGGCGCTAGCCCACAGGTGCGTTCCGAGCCTCTGGCCGATCAGTACAGTACAACTTAGATCAGTACTTAGGTATGCTTGCTTCGGTCACTCGGTATATAACGTTGGCGCCGGACCCCGACATGTCAATCATTCTCATCGCGATGTGCTGACCGTGTCGCCCTTGATTGTTCCTTCTGACGCCTTGGCATGAACGGGCATGAACGGCAGACACTGAGTGCCGTATGGAAGTCCTGAAGATATGCACGGGAAACACGGGTTGGATGGGCCGACTCTTCACGATGGTGGCTGTCAGAGGATGGTAAGTCCCTTGATTAAATATCCTCGTTACCTGGCGACGAGGGTACACAGAATTTCCCGACCTCCATCTCTGAACAGGTGTGTTTCACAATTAGTTAGTGAGCTTCCTTGGTTCCGACAAGCGCGGTGATCTGAATGACCGAACCGTCACATTACAATCCTTAGGTCAACTATTGCTGCACCTCGACCTTTTATCTCGAGCGATCACTCCAGTGTCCTTTGAATTCTCTGGAACAAGGTCGCCTGCTATCATGTTCCATGACATCCGCTTTACATTCTCTATTTTACGGTGGTAGTTACTGCTCTTCGCCTTCCACCGAAAACCACCTCACGAGGGTCGTACGCCAATCCCTTACTTTAGTCCCACCCAAGTTCGAGACTATCATGCCAGACTGGGATCCAGACAGAGTGCTGCTTGTATAGTTGGTTGTCTAAGGAATGGCGAGAACCGTGTTCACTCCTCTTCGTTCACGTCTGGTATGCTTCATTCACTTGATCGACCTGTCTCTTTTCTTATTTATCTGCCGTAGTTTTGTGAATCCCGGTGCTTCCGCTATTTAACCTCAAATCACTCGTTAATTCCCGTAAGCTATTGTCTGTACCGTGTGCTGCATTGCTCAGATTAACATGCCTTCCACGTCATTTGCTCAGAACGATGCAAGATGTCTTATGATTACTTCACCCGTCTCCTTGTTCTGTCCTTCTTTGCTTCGACCCTCTGGCGCATCGTGGCAGCTCCCATTGAGGTATTTTTGTGCCACATGTCTCGTTTTCTCGACTGATGTGTAACGTGAAACAATCCAGTCTCCGATCCTCGAAGGGCATAAGTTATCTGCTTTGAAAGGAAGTAAAGGAGTAGGGGGAGGCAAAGCACCCCCTGTCACCGTTGCTAGAACCACAAAACCGGTTACGGTCGGCAGAACCACCATCCCGGTTACGGTTGCCCCCGCCACCTCAAAGGTCAGACAGACTACTACTGCAAAACCATCTGTGCGTTGGTCGTTTCCACCTCCGCTGGTGCTTGATGCAGTTGTTAATCAACCTGGCGCACCTCAGTCGCGTCCACTGTCATCAGCGCGGGCCACCGCTGCCAGAAGTAGTTCTGTGGTGCGGAGCTCGTCGACTACAGTTGCTACAAGGATTTCTAGCTCGCGTTCGTCGACTCCTGTATCCTCTTTACGGGCCTCGCCATCGTCCACCCCTCTTGTCACGACCAGCTCCGTTCGCCGCTCAAGCTCCGTTCACCTCTCAAGTTCGATACCATCCTTACTGACCAAGTCCGCGACTCTCACCTCGTCTATCCGGAGTGCGGCTGCATCGGTCTCTTCGGCCAAAGCCAACTCATCGTTGGCTTCGAACCGCACGTCAATCGCCACATCATCCTTGCCTTTGAACGGCATAACGGCTACGTCATCGATCCCTGCAGCTAGTGGTAGTGCAGTGAGTGCTTGGGTTTATCCCCTAGAGACGCTGATGTACCGATCCGTCGCTCATAGTGCACCTTTAGGCCCAAAGGTTCGGGTACCAATTCCACCAAATCACCGCGTGAATATATTCCGGCAAACTCCATCCATACTCTCTCTTCTAGGGCCAATCCGGTATTCCTCGGCTGGCATCGTACGCAAAATAAGAACGCACATGTCTTCGAGAACGAAGGGGTCCTGCCTCCGCAGTTTGGGTCTGGCGTAAACGGAGAGCTGGGACAAGGTCTATACGTTACTGACGACCTTGATTCGTTCGTGCATGCGCTTCATCGTCAGCAGCGATGTTGACAAACCGGTTCTCTAGGGCACGGGCCTTTGCCAACAATGCAAAGAACAACGTGAACAGGCAGCAGGGCAAAGGAACTCCGAAAACTAACCCAACTGCCAACTTGGCTTTTGTCTGTAGAATATCTGCCCGGGATGAAACGGAGTGGATCAAGTTAATTCCAAAGGTGAGCTAGTCCACTTTATCCAGATAAATTGCTGAAAACATCCGTACTTCTTCCAGCAATAATTCCCAAAGACGGCCCCCAATGGTCAGCAACTTATCGGTGACGACGTTCAACAACCAGGCCAATCGTGACGCATTCGAAACTGCACGCCGAAACTTCGCGCAGGGCAATGGGCTACCCGGCGCTGCTACTGGCGCCTTCATTCGCTTTGCTCCACTTGACGTTGATAGGAATAGCGCAGCGAGCCAATTCGCAATCCCAACCTCCCTACAAGCGCTGTTGACAGCCGAGTGCTTCCCTGTCGATCCCGCTCACGAAATCACTGGTTTCCAGGAGGATCCTCAGCTGAGCGCTGGACCGCAGATTAATTATCGCCAGTTGACCGGTCCTTGGGACATTAATTCATCCACAGGTTGCTCGTAGTTGTGCGGAAGTACTCTCAGCAGCTCAAGGTTGGATTGAGGCACTGGCAGTGATAAGTACCGCGGATTTTCTACTGCAAGTGTCACGAGATACTATGGATGTACATTCGTACCGACGCAGGTACTTTTTATTGTTACACATCCGCTTCATCCTTATTTGATAAATCATGAATTTGTGTAGACTCGATCGGTCACCTAACATCTCCTCAGACTTTGTGCTTCGATCTCTACGAGTAACTCGATTACGGCCTTCCCATCAGAAATGTCGCGTTGAAGGTACTGTACTGTGAGGTGTTGAAAACTGAGGCTTTCGATTACCTTCCTTACCAGTGTGCTGAACTCTGCCTGTCTTGACCGTTCCCTCTTGATCATGATTGTTACGCGCTGACCTCGAAAGCACTGGTATGTGTTGTCATTGGTCAGATCTAGTAGAGAGAGGGAAAGTTTGCGATTTGATAGGTAAGTCTTGCCAGGGAGAACTGCAGGCTGTCAGTCTGCAGCTGTTTGGCCAGGTTAAGAATGAATGCTAGTTAAATGGCTGACTGAGGGAGGAAGGTACAGTAGAGTAGGCTAGTGAACATTTCCGATACGCGCCAGTGAAGTCCCCCCTTGCGCTAGGGTTCCGTAAATTTGGGACGGCTCCTAATTAGCATTGCTAATTTGCAGGTCGCTGGCCGGAGGCCAGATTTGCAGGTGTAATTTACCGTTAATTAGCAACGGGGTCCGGGGCGGAGCCCCGGCGCGGTCCGCGTTAATTAGCGCTAATTAGCATGCTAATTTGGTCTAATTTACATGCTAATTACAGAACAGCTACCAAGTATCCCAAGAGACCACCTCCTCAGATGTACTAATATCAGCTCGGTGCGCTGCTTTGCCAGCATTTATTGATGCCACTGGTCTGGGGTTCACAGCCACGTCCGAGAGGACATCTTGCAGAAATTCGGATGTGAGGTCGATATATGCCTCAAGCTCAACTCCGCCAATCTTGGGTAGAGTGAACTTGTCCCGTGCGATCCGACTAGTACTTGGAGGTTCCGCTTCATACTCACTGTCAGGTTCTTCGTCCAGCTCCAGAGGGCCCGTGCCCATAAGGGAAGGTTGTACATCGCTGGATCCCATAAGGCCGGTAGCTGAATCACCAAATATGGTTGAAGACATCTCTCGCCACTTGACCGTTGGCAGAGTCTTAGGCGCTGCCACCTATACTCGCATAGTGGTCAGCGAAGTTCGCAGTCCTGTGTAAAAGGTGGCTGATACCTGGGGATTCCACCTATGCCAGCCACGGATCATAATAGTGTCATTGAGAGTCAAAAATGTCTTGTCGACTCCG